TCCTGTACATCTCCATCAGAGTTCTTAGGGATGAAGTACATTGTTAGTGAGTATAGCATTTTGAAAAGAATCTTTTGTTCTCAGCAGCAAGTCTCAACAGTGGGCTAAAAATATTCAGTAAACCACACTATAAACAGACTTGCTGCCACCCAGGTGGGGTTTTGCCATTCACAGACCACAGGAAGAAAAGGTTTAGCATATTTCTTAAGAGCCCTGGGATTTTCAAAACAGTAAATAAACACTGATTCCTATTTAAAGTGACTAGCTGCATTAACCCGTATCAGGAGAGTCAGCCTGTCCTTTGAAGCTTTTGAGCCAGGCACTGACTTTGGCTCTCTAGCTATGAAGGTCCTGGATGGCAGCATCTTTCAATAGAAAAGCTGTTTTGTCTATGTTGAAAATCTGTTGTTCATTGTAACTACTTTCACCCATTACCTTAGCTAGACCTTCTGCATAACTTGCTGCAATTTCTACGTCAGCACCTGCTGCTTCACCTTGCACTTCTATTACGGAGACATTTTCTTTTCTTAAACACCTTATGCATCAACCTTTGGCTTCAAACTTTTCTTCTGTAGATCTCTAACCTTTCTCAGGCTTCACAGAATTGAAGAGAGTAAGGGTCTTGCTCTGGATTAGGCTTTGGCTTAAGGGAATGCTGAGGCTGCTTTGACATTTCATCCAAACCATTCAAACAATCTTGCTTCACATCAGCACTAAGACTGTTTTGCTTTCTTATCATCCCTGTGTTTGCTGTAACAGCATTTTTAATTTCCTTCAAAAACTTTTCATTTGTATTTACAACTTCAACTTTGCCATTTAGTGCAAGAGGCTTAGCTTCTGTCTTATATTTCAGCCTGTGACATGCTTTCCTCATTAAGCTTAATCATTTCTAACTTTTTTTTTTTGGAGACAGTCGTACTCTGTCGTGCTGGGTACGTGTAGAGTGCCGTGGTGGCATCATAGCTCATGGCAACCTCAAACCTGGGCTCAAGAGAGCCTCTTGCCTCAGCCTCCCAAGTAGCTGGGACTACAGGTGCCCCCCACAATACCTGGCTAGTTTTTCTATTTCTATTTTTATTTCTAGTTTTTGATTTAAAGTGAGATGTGTAACTTTCCTTTTTACCTGAGTGCTTAGAGGGCACTGTAGGGTTATCAACTGGCCTAATTTTAATATTGTTGTGTCTCAAGGAATAGGCAGGCCCAAAGAGAAGGAGAGAGATAGGACAGGGGGCGATCTGTGGACCAGTCAGAAGAAAAACAACATTTATGGGTTCACTTCACTGTCTTCCATGGTCTATGGCATCCCAAAACATTACAATGGTAACATCAAGATTACAGATAATAAATTACCATAACAGGTATAATAATAATTTAAAAGTTTGAAATATTGTGAGATTTACAAAAATGTGACAAAAAAACAAGAAGTGAGCACATGCTCTTGGAAAAATGGCACAAAGGCGTCCTTGATGCAAGGTCGCCACAAACTTTCAGTAAAAAAAAAAAGCAGTATCTGTGAAGCACAATGAGGCAACATCATAAGCGTGTACTCTCTGCTTCTTACCATAAATATGGTCCCTAAATTCATACAGACAGAGCTGTAAACATGTATGAAAGTAACAGAAAAAATCACAGGATAATCTCATTTGATATGATAGATAGCATAAAAGTAACTATTACAGAAGATAACTAACTTGTCTACAAGTTTCACAAGAACCTCGGTGACACCGCTGTGAACATCTATGGATTCCGCATTCAAGTACTTTGTCACAACTGTCTCCACAAGTTGGTACATCTTCTGTACAAGGCAAAGAAAACCCTAAAAACAGACAAAAGGTCACTGTTACTAACAGGATACAATATTAAATACTACCAAAATACCATGTTCTTTAGACTCCCTAAAGCCTTTCAGACAATAAATTTTTGCATCAACACAATTATTAGAAAAAAAATAACTTTAATGAAAACAACCCCTAACATCTGTAAAGTTTATTATGCCTTTCAAAAAGAAAAGCATGGGATGCACGCTTATGATTCCAGCAGTTTGGGAGGCTGAAGCAGGAGGATCACCTGAAGCCAGGAGTTTAAGACCAGCCTGTGCACCACAGTGAGGCCTCTGTCTCTTATAAACACTAGAAAAATTAGCCAGGCGTGGTGGCGTGTGTCTATAGT